TTCAAAACATTTGCATTCTCTCAGAAAACATTTGTGTTCCCCCAAGAATCTTTGTGTTCTCTCGCAAAACATTTGTGCTCTCCCGTAAAAGACCCCCCTTCTTAAAGATCCCCCCCCCCATTTCTGTTTTACAATAGAAATGTTAAATGGCTGACAGTGACAAACTGTTCAACTTTTTGTCAAATGTTGCCATTTTGTTATTGAATTGAAAATATGTCATTTATATGATTCTGATTTATTTAATTCATCTGAATGTGAAGAGACAAGAAACATGAACAGAGTTGTCTTCGGCATATTAGGCATATGATTAAGAGTGAATGTGTGTATATTTTAAAATAAAAATATAATTTGCAATTAGAAATAAAATAAAATACATTACAATAAATGTATAGTTCTTTTAATATGTTTCTTTATACTCTATAATTCCTGGGCCTCAGTGTCTCTCTCTCAATCTGTAAACACGTTTTTTTTTTGGACGTGGACTGAATTAAAAAACAAAAAAAAACTATGTGTCTTTACTCCCAGAAGATGCCAGCCAATCAGATTAGAGCCTGCCAGACCAAGTAAGTGCTTTCCAATTTTTGTGCAATATGCATCTGACGGTCTGGGAAGGGACTGTTGGTCCTCAGGCGTGCCATTTGATGAGACTAGGGCAGCCCTGCGACACGCTGTCAGATGAAGAGCATCCCACAGACATCATTCACTGGTGGCATGTGTAGTGAAGATGAAACACGTCAGTGGACACACAACAAAGTCCAGATCATAGCAGAGTAATGGCCAGAGTAAAGCGCCTGGAGTCAAAACACTGATGAGACAGAGAAAAGCAGTTCTTCGCATATGAAAATCTGAATGATGAAGCAATAAAGCAGCTTTATGAGCTCTTGATGGAGGCATTTTAGAGTGGATCTGGTACTCGCTGCTTAGGTACTGAACTGAATGCAGAACAGCAGTAAAGGTCTCTGGCTGATGGTATGACTCAGAACAGTAATGCCTTGAGGATGTCAGAACAGATGGTGTTCCTGTTGGCTATAAAATATAATGTTGTGAAATAATAACTGTTTTCATATATTTTAGAATGCACTTTATTCTTGTAATGGCAAAGCTGAATTTTCAGCATCATTACTCCAGTCTTCAGTGTCATGATCCTCATGAAATTATTCTACTGTAATATGCTGATTTGGTATCAATGTTGAAAACGGATGTGCTGCTTAATATTTTTGTCATAACCATGACAATTTTTTTCTTTGATGAATAGAAAGTTCAGTAGAACATTATTTGAAATAGAAATCTTTTGTAACATTATAAATGTCTTTACTGTCACTTTTGATCAATTTAATGGATCCTTACTGAATATTTCATATGTTTGCATGGACACTGAAATTTACATTATTAAAGTAAAACATAAGCATTTTATGTATGAAAAACATTGGGCGTACAAATATTATGAAAACGTTTAGTTCAGAAAATATTGAATTCATAGATTAATTAAAAATGTTAAAAGCCATTATATTTATTTAACACGTTTGACATGATTAACTTTTTAATTCTGTTCTGTGATTACATGACTTTACCTAACTTAAAAATTTTGAAATGAAATGTCCTCATTCAATTAATATGTAATAGTAAAATTTAACTATGCAAATTTAATTTATTTATTTTTAATTATTTATCATTTATATTTTAATTTATAATTTATGTAACTTTTTTTACGCTTCTAAAATGTAATTACATTTTTGATGTTGTCAGCATGTTTCAGCATTTAAAGGGGATAACGGATGAAATTTTCACTTTTTTAAGCTTTTTTGCACTTAGTTAGGTTTCTGGCGTGTCTGCCAGCTCAGAAAAGCTGAAAAGAAAACACGGAGCCAGTTTGCTATGGGCTGTCTGAGTCTGAAACTGTGTCATCCAGCGAGCTGTTTCAGTTTACAGCCGGTTTCTATGTAGATAGTTAGCTATTTGAATAAGACCACCTCTGAGCCATATATATGGAGTCCTAGGCAGCAATTCAGCATCTTGCATCGTCAAACCAAACGGAAGAGAGGGGTGGGGTGAGCAGAGCAGTTTTTTAAATATATAAATTCTTTGTTTTTGAAATAAGTTTAAAAGAGGATGATGGTTGACAAACAGATGGATAGTTAAATTCCTCTAAGTTCCACTGGATGATAAAAACACAAATGTCCTGGCACAGGGCCTTCCTCAGTGCGTTAAAGGTGGGGTAAGTGATTTCTGGTAGCCAATGTTGATATTTCAAATTACCAAAACAAACACGCCCCTACCCCAAAAGGGTCTCGCCCCTATTTTGATAGCTCCGCCCCACACATACATACACAACCCAGGCAACGATTATGGCGGAATCTGCTGTATTATTATCTGCTGTGCTGTATTAAACATATTATCTTACTTTTCAGACACACTTTGGGAGCTGACGCTTGAAACAGACAGCAGAGAGTGGAGGAGGTTTAGACGCACCAGGCTTAGGGTGTGGAAATGAATGTGTCTTTATCATAGCTGAAGGGAATGACAATACGATTGCAGATGAACAAACAAGCGAACATGACACACGAGCATATTCAAGCAAAAGCCAGCATATATTAGTTCTGTGAAACAAAGCAAAACCAATGTTACTCACCTATCGAGAAGAAACAAAACAACCTCGGCGTCCGATCGCAGGCCTTCCCGCTCCTTGAGTTCTCTCCAGCGCTGGAAAGCTGATCCGAAATGTACACAGGTCCTACTTCTTGCCTTATCGTAAGCCTTCTTTAGTTCCGCAGATGGTTTCCTCTTTTGTTTTTTATCTGCCATCTCTATCTCTGTCGTCACTCGGCTCGGCAAATGTCCGTCCTGTGCACTGAGCGCTCTCTCCTCACCATCATGAGAAGACACGCCCCTTACTGCTGATTGGCTACAAGTTTGTTTTGGTACTCGGCATGACTCTAAAAATACATACCCCACCTTTAAGGTTCAATATGCCCATCCCCTCTTAAAAACCATCATGTGGGCCATTATCCTAATTATAACTCATTGAGTAAAATGGATTTACTCACCAGTTGGACTATGAATTGAGGGCAATTTCTTAAGGCTAAAGTTGGGTTAACAAGGTCTTGATGCCCATTTGTGATTCTCGGGTGAGGATTCCTGCCGTTGCTTATTTGCATGTGCTTTACACTTAAGGAATTATGCAAATCAGATAATGGTGCAAACACAGCCATGAGAATAGTGCTGGTAGCAATTTGCACTGGACTATTCTCCAGGTTACAGGCTGGTTCTGAGCTATAGGTAGTATAGGATGCCAGTGATAAATAATAATTAAAAATAATAATAATTTAATTAAATTTAATAATACATTATGAACAAAGTATTTTACGTCTTACAAAAATAATGTGTAAATAATAGAAAAATATTTTCATTCGTTAGTTTGTCTGGAGTACTTTGGGATAAATAAAATTGTGCTGCGACACTTGAATATACAATACAGAGAAGTTTAAAATTATTGTACCTTGTACAATAAAACTTGCTTAGTGAGATATAGAGCTGTTGTGTCAGTTTGACTTACAGCTGAAGTGCTTCTCATGTTTAATCCTGTTAATTCAGACAGCTGTGAAATAGCTTCAGCTCTTTTGCATTATTAGCATTTATCCTTTGTGGAACTCTGTCAGTGTTGCCAGATCTCACAGCAAAAACGAGCAACCTTTTCTGACAACACAATCTCAAAATAAGCCTCCCCAAAACATGGCTAAATTGGCAAAATACAGTTGTCCTTTGAGGAGGGAACTGCTTAATTGAATCTGATTTATTTTAGCATTTGGTTAGAATAAGTTGATTTTTACAATTCAGGGAGCCTCTATTATACATTTGATAGGTTTTATCTGTAACACTGCAGAATAACTTTAATTAATAATGTGTTGACCTTGTTTATTGGTTATATCCTTTACCATGTGCCAGACAGCTGCGTAATGATGCAAAGTAATGTCTTTTCAGTATTGTTACTGTACAACTGGATCTGTAAATCAGTAAGTGCACAAATATGCATTTTCTGAGTTCCCATACTTTTAAATTACTTCAGCTGCTTACTTAATAGACATGTCAACTCAACGAAAGGAGACATGTACACAGCGCCATCTAATGGTGACCAGACACAAATGATTTCTCTGGCACAGTGGATCTGTAAAGCAAACCAATCCAGAAGCTTGGCTGATATTTTTGTTTGTACACAGTGTTGGGGGTAATATATTACAAGTAATGCAAGTTACGTAATCAGATTACTTTTTTCAAGTAACTAGTACTTTTTAAAGTTACTTTTTCAAATAAGTAACGCAAGTTGCTTTTTTTTTCTTCAGTTTATTGACTGACAGCTCTCCTGTCCCCATGTTGAGAGAAATCAGAAGATGTTACTCTAGTTCTAAAATAAATATGAATATGCATTAATTCATCTCACTCACAAAAAAACCCCCCCACAGATTCAGTATTCCTCAAAATGAATAAAAATAATGCAACTCAGAATATGACGCAAACCTGCAATAATTAAATGTTAAACAACACAAATATGCTTTATGTATTTATTCCCATTCTATTAACCAATGTCTTTGCTTCTGACCTTCGATGATGCAGTTCAACCGTACTAATAAGCACAATTACTCTAGACAAACATTTGTGTGTCTTTTTTTACTGCTGAAGTGTGTTGAAATGTCTTCTTCTGCATTCTACTGTACGGACGTAAATTTACTTTCCCTTCAGCCTGAGGCTTATTCATTTCACTTTTGGTGTGAAAAGGCTTTTATATTTGCCAAAAATAGAACTTTTTTATTTTAAAAACAAACAAGCAAGCCCTGTCCAGATTTAAAAAGTAGCGCAAAAGTAAAACGTAACGCATTACTTTCCATAAAAAGTAACTAAGTACCGTAATTAGTTACTTTTTTATGGAGTAATGCAATATTGTAATGCATTACTTTTAAAAGTAACTTTCCCCAACACTGTTTGTACATGTGTGTTTTGTGTTTTAGAGATAGTGAGAGCCATGACGCATGTCATTAACCATGGCATGTCCATGTACTGGGGCACGTCACGCTGGTCAGCGATGGAGATCATGGTGAGTGGAGAGGACAAACTTCTGTGCACTTTTCCTTAATGCTTCCTTTTGTTAAGTTAGTCCTGATGATGAAATTATTTTATAATGTCGTATTTATTGCATATTAAACCCGTATTCAAGATTAGTTGGTTGTTTTTAATTGTCCATGTCAGTATCTGTCTGGGTATTTACAGTTGTTGTTGTTTTCTTGTCTTTATTCATTCATATCATTCTCTTCTCATTTTTGTCATCTCTCTCTCCCTGTAGGAGGCGTATTCTGTAGCGAGGCAGTTTAATCTGATTCCTCCTGTGTGTGAACAGGCCGAATATCATTTATTCCAGAGGGATAAAGTGGAGATGCAACTGCCTGAGCTTTACCATAAGATTGGTACAAACAAACACAAATTGTATATACACATAAACACACATGATTAAAATATGATCTATGACACAGCCTAAAGACACAGTCTTGCACCGCAGGTGTTGGTGTGGTATCCTGGTCTCCTCTAGCTTGTGGCATCGTCACAGGGAAATATGAAAACGGCATCCCAGAATCCTCCAGGGCGTCTTTGAAGGTACTTTAAAGGAGTAGTTCAGCCAAAGATGAATTTGCTGAAAATGTGCTCGCCCTCAGGCTATCCAAGATGTAGACGAGTTTATTTCTTCATTAGAATAGATTTGGGGAAATTTAGCATTACATCACTTGCTCACCAATGGATCCTCTGGGTGCCGTCAGAACGAGAGTCCAAACAGCAGATAAAAACGTCACAGGAATCCACAAGTAATTCACACAACTCCAGTCTATCAATCAACGTCTTGTGAAGCAAAAAGCTCAGTGTTTGAAAGACACAAATCCATCAAGGCATTTTAACTTGAAATAGTTTTTAAATAGTTGCTTCAACTGTTTGGACTCTCATTCTGACGGCACCCATTCACTGCAGAGGATCCATTGATGTGCGAATGATGTAATGGTAAATTACATTTTGATTTTTGGGTGAACTATTCCTTTAATCCTGTGTGTCATGGCAGACACATAATTTCCTCAAGACAAAAGGATGGATATCTGTTGATTAAACTGATATTTATCCAACTGAATAGTGCCAGATTTCTAGTGCCAGTGATTTAGGAGCTCATATAGTTCATAGATTGCACCTTCAGCTAGTATACAGCGATGAGGGTGGCAGGTCTGTCAGGGCAGGTTTGCTGTGCTTGTCTCACTCTCTCTCTCTTTCTCTCTCTGCAGTCATACCAGTGGCTGAAGGAGAAGATTCTGAGCGAGGATGGCAGAAAGCAGCAGGCGAAGCTTAAGGAATTGACCCACATAGCTGAGAAGCTCAGCTGTACCCTGCCACAACTTGCCATCGGTAGGTCAAAATAACTTTTTCACTTCAACTGTCACAAAGTGCAACATACATTATCACTGCCATAGTGACTCAACTGTTCTGTCACTGTTTACATAGAGTAAAATACAGAATTTCTGCTTTCATGCACATTTCCTGACTGAGAAACAAACCTTGACATTAATCCACAGAGCGTTAAAGTCACCAAATTTGAGGGTTGAAAAAAAGAAGACATACAATTACATACTTAATGAAAAACAAACTTGGCAATTTTTTTTTTTTTAGTTGGAAGCATTTTTATGATTTGGAAAATCTTGATGGTGACTCTTTTACAGTTTTAATAAATGTGGTGGTGGGTAATATTCTATTCAAAAATGTATTATATATCATTTATTTATGAAATATTTTTAATTATCTATTTATTGTGTATTTTTATTTCTATGTAGTTTTATTTTTGTTTATTAATAATAATGATAATAAATATTTTCTGAAAAAATGTGTTCATATGTGTATTTTTTTAAACAGTCAATAATTATTTAAATTTTGCTTTATTTATTTATGTTATATATTTATTATTATTATTAATAATAATAATACATCGTATGAAAAAATACTTGTTTAAGTTTTTTTAAAATTAATTTTATTGTATTTTTTTTTTCAATGTAAACCGTTTGATAGACAAAAAATATTTTGTAAAAAACTGTACTGTTAAAAAAAATCCTGTATCAACAATCCTTCCAGTAGCATTTGTCTGTATCACCCGATCAGAATCTCACCAGCTCAATTGAGATTCCCATGATTCACTGGCTTTAAACTTTCATACATGTAGGACTAAATGACAGATTCCTTATAAATCTATTCTGTGTGTTCCTCTGTAGCCTGGTGCCTCCGTAATGAAGGAGTGAGTTCATAATAATACATCGTATGAAAAAATATTTGTTTGTTTAAGTTTTTTTTTAATTAATTTTATTGTATTTTTTTTTTCAATGTAAACCGTTTGATAGACAAAAAATATTTTGTAAAAAACTGTACTGTTAAAAAAAATCCTGTATCAACAATCCTTCCAGTAGCATTTGTCTGTATCACCCGATCAGAATCTCACCAGCTCAATTGAGATTCCCATGATTCACTGGCTTTAAACTTTCATACATGTAGGACTAAATGACAGATTCCTTATAAATCTATTCTGTGTGTTCCTCTGTAGCCTGGTGCCTCCGTAATGAAGGAGTGAGTTCTGTTCTCCTGGGGACCTCCAACCCTGCACAGCTCACTGAGAACCTGGGGGCGATACAGGCAAGAGTTTTATCAAAACATCTCAAACACACTGTGGAATCACTGCCATCCCACAAACTCTGGTGGCCTGTTACAGCTCTGTGCTTTCATCTCTTAACACCTATCTTCTGAATCTCACATGGTTCATTTACATGTAAAACATCAAAAACAGGATATTGCTTGATGTAATTTTTATGTGCCACGGCAAAATTTCACACACTGATAAGAGATCCAACTAAATCGGCTTCAGATAAAGATGGTTTTATGTAGTTTCTAGCTTGACGAAATGGTTGGACTAGAATTTAGACAGTCTTCCTCAACCAGGGAGAAAACTTGTAACGGGGCTTCAAGATGACTTCAAAATATTTACATTAGACAAGCATTAAAATAATTTAAAACAACTAAAAATCAAGATGAATTTTATTTGAATTCATCCCATGTGTTTTAGTAATTAGATCTACATTCTCGCTTACAGGTTCTTCCAAAGATCACTGCTATTGTGGCCTCAGATATCGACAAAATCCTGGGTAACCGTCCCCAGAGTAAGAAGGACTACCATCACTAGGCCTTCCTGTGAACCTGTAAGCCTTGAGACTCAGGATCCTGTGCCAGCCCTCTTGTTTCGGCGGGTGTCCACAGTGTGTGGTTCCCACCATTGTGTGTCTGTGTCAACTTCTCCTGCAGAGAGCCATTGTTACAGTTACAGTAGAAATGCTAAAGTATTATGCATGTTTCTGTTCGACCTAAACCTGAGCTTAACCTCGCATTAAGATCTCTGTGGAGGCACACCTGCCTGAGAAGCACAGAAGCTCCTGGACTCCCTCATCTGTGGGGTTTTGTATTCAGCTGTCATAACCCATATGTGCCAAAGTCAACCTGGTCTTGACCCTTGACCTCCAGACATCCATTCTGAAAAGGGACGAATGACGGGCCCTTATGAATGGCCCTGATTAACGTCCGTAAAACACTGTAGGGAAAATAAAATAAGGAAAACGCACTGCTTATCATTCTGAGAATGTACAAACTAAGAACTGTGATGTATGGCAGAGCAGCATGTAGAGTTGAACTGTGTACGATGTGTGTGCATTGATAAAAAAGTGTTGGATTAAAAAGCCATCAACAGCAAAGTAGGCTGCTATGTGTTTAATTGTTCTCCAAAAAGTTTAACATCTTCAAACGACTGTGTATGTTTTCTTTGTAAATCCTGCAATTTGTGTCATGTCTGATCTGTTCGATGATATAATACTTCTCTGTTGTTTTAAATGTACATTATAAAAAACGTAGTTTGTTCAAATGCTTTTCCAGTGATAAAAGTACACTGGTTAAAGATTTAAATGCTTGCTGCTGTATTTGGCAACTTTTGTACTGCTAAGCAGTACATACTTGAGTCCAGAGAGTGCTAGAAATGCACAATTATCAAAAGCAACTAGTTAATGTCGGTGAGAAATGGGGTCAAAATGTTTACAACCTTGAAAACGATGAAGCTGTCAATTAATGAATTATGCAGAGTGCTTTTAACATTCAAATAAAAATGTGCATCTCTAGTTTATGGTGTTTTGATATATATAAATGTTTTTAACCATTTTAAGTTACTTTGCTGTTTGAAGAACATGCTACAAAAAGTCACCTGGAAACAAAATAACCTGAAAAGTGTGGGCTACAGTTAAAAAGAGAAAAGAAAATGAAACATAACGAAGTAGAAAAACTAGGCCATTACTGAACGGAAAAAAACTAGGTCACACAAGGCTGCTAAAATCAGTGTTGCCAACTAATTTTCTGAGAAAGTTGCTAAAGGAAGGTCGATTTGTTGCTAAAAGTTGCTAAATGACGTTGTTTTGTCATTGCTCATTGACGTCATTGCGTAATCACGACGCAAAATTGTCACATCATCAAACCTCAGCAAAAAAGATATTTATATATGTTAATTTAGATTTGTTTTTAAAATAATATGCATGATATAATATTAAAATATAAATAACTATTTTTAAATACATTGAATTATTGAAAACTTACACATTTTTGAATGATTGCAATTAAAGTTGTTTTAGTTGCTAGTAAACTAGTAATTCTACACATTCTCAACAATTATGCTTTAAGCAGTGTATTAGTAGTTAGTTAGTATGCTATCTCCATTGAGACTACACCCCTCCCTTAATGCAACAAGCCCCGCCCACTTAGGTTTTCTATTGGATAAACGCTCTGTCAGTTTCAATTTTCTGTTTTTTCATTGGTTCTTCCCTTCCCGTCACCTTATTTCGATTCCATACGCGCCAAACATTGTAGGCTGTGACATACTTAACGCAAACACTTCGAGCCAGCACTGTTTATGGCCTTTGAAAACGGCCAGCAAGGGTTTGTTTTGTTATTTATTATTGAATTTAGCCGTCTAAAAGGAAAGAAGGGACAATCCCTCTCTCTGTCACCAAGGCAGCAGGTAGTAAACTGAAAGCACAGCAAGTGTGTTGTTGAAACGAGCAGTGTGGTGGGTGAGTCGCGCTCCGTTTAATCATGATGTATTAGTTTGTTATGCGATATGTATATGATCAAAGCTTTCTAGCTAGTCTTGAAAACAATAACGGCGTTGGTTAGAATCTTATTTATGACTGTCCACTTTGATTTAAAGCGGTCGGAGGAGCAGCCCCAGGGGCGACAGTGTGTGTGTTGCTGATGGTGACTGCAGTATCAGCAGTGTGATGAAGACTGACTCCTTCTGCATGCACCAGTCATTCCCCTCCGCATGGACGCATCAGGTGGGCCAGACTGCTGTCACACGTGCGCAACGATGTATGGCCACTGAAAAGATCCTAAATATTATAAAATAATAACGATAAAGCTTACCAAAATTTCAACAATGCAGCATACAGCAGACGTTGTGACAATAAAATGGTACCACAATGGAGATCTCTTTAAGAATTTGTTGCCAAGTGTTTTAAAAAATATAAAATATCTGGTTATTCAGTAGTTTAGATGTGGTTGCTGAAGAAGATTGTTATCTGAAATGGCTAGCACAAAACCGGTGACTGGGGTACTTTTGTTCACCCTCATTTTGTTCAAACATCTATTATCTGGAACACAAAAATGTATAAGACAGAATAACATCCTCAGTCTCCATTCACTTTCACTGTGTAGAAAAAAAATACACTACTGTTCAAAAGTTTGGGGGTGGAATATTTAAAAAAAAATTATTTAATTAATTTGAAATAGAAATCATTTGTAATATAAATGTCTTTACTGTCACTTTTGATCAATTAATGCATCCTTGCTGAACAAAAGTATTAATTTCTTTTTAAAAAAAAACTTTTGTTTATTGGTTTTAGTGTATGCCAGTGTAAGTCAACGGGGACTGAAGCTGTCATTCTCCTTAACATCTCCCTTGTGTTCCACAGAAGAAAAAGTAATATGGAAAAGTCCCTGGACAGTTTGGAAAAGTTTGACAGGGAGTTAATTTGCAGACTATTCATTTTTACTCATTTATTTTCCAAAAGGTGATTCTCATGTCGGTTCTTCAGTGGCGATGAGGAATCTTCAGATCTCTGATCTGCATTGCTTCCACCCCGTGTCTCCGTCATCAACTCGGTCTCCAGTGTTGGAGAGCTCTCTGCTCAGACAGCTCATGTGTACTGCTCCAGAGAAGAGAGGCACAGCTCTCACCATCAACCCTAATAAAGCTGTCCTGTCCATTAACTGCACCACATTACAGGGATCGGACGATTGTTCTCACCAAAGCCCTTTTACCAATTAAACAAGGCCATATTACACCATGTTTTTGGTAGTAGGGATTCTTTGCCTGGACTTTTATCTGCTCCCCTATTCTTTGAACTATTGAGTTATTACAAAAGATTTCAATTGTTTATTGATGTTATCTCTTTTTGCAAGGTTGTGGATGCAAATGAACATGCTTGTAAGCTGTTTGAGTGTGCATACAGTGATTTGATTGGCCGGAAGCTCACCTCTCTCCTAAAAGCCAGTCAGATGCTAGAGGAAGGGCTGAAGGAGGAGACACTGGATTCTGATGGGAACCTGGTTGCTATTTCTGCCAAAGTGGTATGAATCACTGGGGTTAATTAAACAACAATTCACTTAGCTGTCACTAAATGATTTGAATCTTGAATATTATTATTTGAGTCTTGAATATTTGATTTCTTCCACACTGCATGTTTTGTCCTTGGCTCTGATCTCTGCTTTCCATGAGCATCATTAATTAAAGCACAGCTCTGGCTCATTCTCTCCGCAGGTGAGCACAGTGAGTTTGACAGGAGCTGAGTTTCCTGTGTCTGTGTGGCTTCAGACACCGGAGCAGCGGCAGCAGATCTTAGAGCTCCTGCTAGAGCGAGTGGAGAGAATCACAGCACACGTGACGTTCACTCAAAATGTGAGACTCATTCCCTTGCAACTAATTGTGCACTTAAAAACAAACAAAAAAGTAATAATAATAATTAAAAGTTTCTTAAGCACCAAATCAGAATGATTTGTGAAGGATCATGTCACATTGAAGACCGGAGTAATGATGCTGAAAATTCATAAATAAATATCAGGAATAAATTACATTTAAAAATTTATTTTAAATTGTAATAATATTTCACAATATTTCTGTTGTATTTTTGATCAAATAAATGCAGCCTTGGTAAGCAGAAGAGATGTTTCAAAAACATTGAAAAAATATCTTACTGACCCCAAACTTTTAAACAGAAGTGTACCTTTAAAGAAAATTGTTGTGTAAAGCTGTTGCTTATGCCGAGTTCACACTGCACGATTTTTCACTTGCCGACAAATGTCTGAAATCGGAGGCAAATCGGTGCTCGTTCACGCGAGTGGCAATCACGCAGTGTGAATTATCAAAGACGCGATCTGAGGGAATCGCCGACGCTTGCAAAATATCTGGAGCTGTCGGCGATTCACAATCACACTGTGTGAAATTAGTTCTGACTGAAAAACACATCGGCGATGACCTTTCAGCCAATGAGAGACCAAGATACAGGGCAGCGGGAAGTTCGGGGAGGAGTTGTAGTTTGCGGACCAGTGTTGCCAAATCCGCAATTGCCGCCGGTTTTTTGTCAGCAGCTTGAAGCGACCCCAATAACGTGATATTTAGGCCCTGGAATGTGAATTGTACCAGGAGAACCCCACCCAAAAAAATTTCATTTTACCCCCCGAACACAAATTTTACTGGGGGACCCCCTCGAAAGCAATTGGGCTATTTTCAGGCCAGTTTTGAGTAGTACTTGGGCGGGTTTTGTAGCGAAAACCTGGCAACCCTGCACCAGACAGAGCTGTCGGCGATTCTTCCTATTGTAAAGTCATGTAGCGTGTAACCTCCTGTCGTCGTTCCATCGTGCAGTGTGAACACCGCAACAACTGAATGCTACCCCCGATAGTCACACAGTGTGAAACCAACAGTAATGCGACGTCTTTGAAAATCGGGCAGTGTGAACTCTTTAGCTCCTCCTCCTATTTCCTCAGGGTGGAATCCTCAGTTGTGACTCCACTTTTGCCCATCTCTATGGTTACCACGCTGCTGAGGAGATGACTGGCCTGTCGATCATGTCTCTGATGCCATCACTACAGATCCCCTTCCATTGCAGGACAACTCCCAAGGTCACAAAGTCTCTAAAAAAATCTTTAAGTAAACAGTTAGCATTTTTGCAGTTTCGTGATACAGAAATTATAACAAAATAACTGACTGGTTCTGTTTTTTATTAATAATTTGAATTTGCCTTTATTTTTACGTCTTCAGTTTTCTTTGTAATTTGTTTCATTTTTAGTAATTTTGTTTTGTCATTTTTATTAAATGACAATTTAATAATTGTCATTTAGTAATTATTTATTTTTACTAGTTTAGTGTTTCAACTCAAGTTATTTCAGTAAGTTGCTACGGCAACATTTTCAAATTTATGTATGTAATGTTTTATTTATTTTTTTTATTTCATTACAAAAGTGTATTATAGTTTTAATTTAAAATACAAGCTCTACTGTGCACCTTAATATAGCTTGTTTCTTTACCTTTGTATTTCAGGTGTTGCGTGTTCAGAGATTGTGTGTGCAGGCTAGGTCTGGTTTGGTGCTGCCAGCATGTGTCCGTCTGCAGGCTGCTGTGTCCTGTGGAAGATCACCGCTGCAGATTAATGGATCAGCACATCCAGAACCTTCTGATGGCTCACTCGTAAGCTCTAGACAGACCAACCGAACTCTTTCAGGTCAGTCTTGCACTGCAGTGCGTGCAGTTCTGGTAGTTGCTTCAACAGACTGAAGTCACAAACACAGTCACCCTAGGTGTGTGTTTTCTCACACTGACATTAAAAATAAAAATATGCAGATTTCCTAACTGTGAATCAGATTTCTGTGTCTGTGGGGATTTATTTATAGCCCACAGCCACTAGTTAAAGTGACTTTTCCAATATTTATTCTGACATAAATGAAATCTTTATTTTCATTGAGTTTCTTGTTGGTTTTTGTCCAATCAAATTAACTAAGTTGCTAATAAATTAAATTAGATGTAATAAATTTTAATTGCTGTTGATTTCAGTGTGATCAATGCAGTGCACTCTTGTCCTGCAGGTGGTAAATCAGGTGCGGGTGGTGTCCCGTCCCCCAGCGCAGGTGTGCTGTACTCTGGGTCAGTGTGTGTGTTTGCTCCCAGTAGCTGCCTCCTGACGCTCCTGCCCAACGGCACCATTCACAGTCTCATCAACCCCTTCAGCTCTCTGCTGCTCGGATATAACAGCAGTCAGCTGCTCGGGAAGGTATAGATGCTATGAAACATTCCCTTTTATGTTGGGATTTGTGTTAAAGGGGTGGTTGATTGCGATTTCACTTTTTTAATGTTAGTTAGTGTGTAATGTTGCTGTTTGATCATAAACAATATCTGCAAAGTTACGAAGCTTAAAGTTCAATGCAAACGGAGATATCGCCTTTTAAAATTCTAGCAGTCTAATGCCTACAAAAATTACTGGTAAGGAACTACAACGAGTTTCTTCCCAGGTCCGTTACGTCAAGAACCCAGAATTTTACATAAACCCCGCCTCCGGGAACACGCAGCAAAGGGGGCAGGGCCATGCTGCGCTGCTTTAGAGAAGAGGAAGAGAAAACTACAGGTGCACGTAAAAATATATTCATATATGAATAGCGATTCTGTCTTCTAACAATTCTAGTGGATTCACAAGTTTCAAAATCAATGTTCTAAAGCAGCGTTCTCACCCTGTTCCTGGCCTCTCTCTGCATCTCTGCATCTCTCTCTCTCTCTCTCTCTCTCTCTCTCTCTCTCTTTCAGATCATCAGCTCAGTGAATACACTTATTTTCACATACTATAGTTATGAGAAGCGTTATACATGGCGGTTGCCGAACTGTATTAAAGCTTTAATCAGAATAAAACCGTATTAAAAGCAGTAGCATTTACAAATAACAGCGTATCTAAAAGTATGAGACAACAACAAACAAAAATCTTAGGCCTACCATTAAAAGCCGTGCTTGCACAGGTTCTGCGCGATCCTCTTCACTAATATCCTCTGCGTCTCAATCGGGCTCAAATTGATAAGCAATATAGACGACGTCATTGTTTACAATACAACCGGAGCACATGCTGCTATGTTGAGGTGCGGGACGTTTAGACGCGCGCTAGAGGCAGTTTAGCCAATCACAACACACTTCAGATCAAGATCAAATCAATCAGAGCCCATAAAAGCAGGAAATGATCAGCGCGTTCAGAGGGGCCGAGCGGTGTGGAATAAAGGTGAATTATGTGAAAAATAATGCGTTTTTTAACAAACGAAGCATTAACACATGTTAGACTGTACCCCATAAACACAATCAAGCCTATAAAAAAACCAATCAACCACCCCTTTAAGTCTGTATAACTCTGTTTTAATAAAAATATGCTTTTAGTTTTAGTGGGTCCAATTTGATTTACCTAATCCAACCAGTGTTATTTGAGTGTTATGTACTTTTTTAATTTATTTTTTATTATTAGAACATGCTATAAAAGTTATACATCATAGATAGACAATAGGGGTGCCGACATTTGAAAAAATTTACAAAGATGGAGAAAAAGAAAATAAAAACAAGTAGGTTTTTTTTTTTCACAGTTTCAAGATTTTTAAAATAAGAACATGTATAAAAGGAAAATCCATATGCTTTGTGAACATGTACATATAGTTGCATACATAATCCACTCCACTATGTATAATCGGTTAGCAATTATGTATTATTCTTACGATTGGACTCCATCTTGCCTCAAAAATATTCATCTGAAGTCTAAGGGAATAAGTTATTTTTTCCATTTCGTAAATTTCTCTAATTTTTCGGATCCACTGTTCATGTGTCGGTGGGTCAGGTTTGAGCCATTTAGACGTGATACATTTTAGGGCTGCAGAAAATAATATTTGAAGTAGATAACTCAATCTCCTTTCTCTCATGCCTTCAGGTATCTCTCCTCGAATAGCCACAGTTGGACCAAAAGGAATATCAATATAAAATATGTCTCCAAAAACTTTATAGATATCTTCCCAGAATTGTTGTATCTTTGGGCAGGACCAAAAGATATGAGTGTGGTTTCCCAATAAGTCGAGTGTTATGTACTTTTATAGTTTTATTAATATTTTCAATGAGCTTTTTCAGTATTCATTTGAATTGAATTTTTTTTAGTGCTTTTGCTATGTACCTTTCAATGTTTCCAAGCTAGTATACATGCTAACAGCAGTCCTGTGCACCTGTGTGTAGAATGTCACATACCTGATACCAGCGTTTTATGAGCGAGTTCGTGCTGCGGACCAAAGCAACCACCCTACATCTCATCCACACGACACTTCCAGCCCATCTGACAGCTGCAGAGGTACAGAGATGTGATGCACTGTAAGGATACACACACTTTAGCTTGTGGTGCTGTGCTAAAATCCCCTCACTTCCTATCTGTCTAGTTCTCAGACCCCTGTAGATGTTCTGCTAGTGCTAACTGTCCCCCTGCTGATGTTCTAACCGTCTTTACTGACATGCTCTCAACTAAGGAAGATCAACAGGAGACATGTAGTGAGTTCCTTCTCTTATTGCACATATATTTCATTTTTAAAATTTTTATTTTAGTAACAACGTTTAATCTGGTTATCCTGTTTTTTTGCCGTAATCTGAATTATTGCTATTTTATTTGTCTTTATTCATTTTATATTAGCCAGTGTTTTTGCTCTTATTGGATGATGTGTGCAGATCCAAACACAGTGCTTGCTGGTGACAGTGTGATGGTGCATCTAGCCATGCGTAGGAGAGCAGGGAAGAGGATCTTCACTGGGACAAGCGCTAAACTGGAGAAAGAGAGCAGCGTCCCATCAACAATGATCTCACCTGCTGTCACCTCTATACCACTGAATGGGTTACATACTCCACTAATTCCTTTCATTTAATTTTTTTCTCTTTATTTGTTTATATGCACAGTTTAAGAGTAAATTGCATGTCAGCATGTGGAAATGAAACCTATTATTATTAATTTAATGTTTTATTTATTTATTTCAATCCTCATACATCATAAAAAAATCATAATGGATTTATTGTTTAAATAAAATATTGAATCATATAAAAAAATATTAAATATAATAAAATATATGGTAGCATTTGCTGCTTGTAATTATTGTAATTTAATTATTGTGAATTACTGGGCATGTGTGATTCCCACTTAACCCAAAAATATGTCTGAACAGAAGATATTTAGAAAAATTGAGAACCAAACAACATAGGAGCCCATTGAATTCCATTAAATGAACCATGATATTTTGCAAAATATCTTCTTTTTGTTGCATAGAAAAAAGTTTTGCAACAACATGACTTTGATCAAATGACAGAATAATTTTGTGTGCACTGTCCCCAAGTAAGGTAATCCACCAGTGAGATAATAAAATAATTTAGGCTCCAAATCAACATTTCATATACATTTATTTCAGTGTCACATCACATCACAGTAGAGTCAGCTGTCTTAACCGCTGCTTGTGTACTGCATCATTACTGTGTCTGTTCCCCTTTCGGGCTTGAACTGATGGTAAAACTAATGACATTATTTACTGTCTTTACATTTATTTTTAAAGATGAGATTATGGTAAGGGGCGTTACATTTCCGACGAGTGCTTGCGGTGTTCGGCCAATCACAATGCACTGGGTCAGCTGGCCAATCAGAGCAGACTGCGCTTGTCGGAAGGAGGGACTTTGTAGAAAACTAAGCGTTTGAGAGAGGCGGGGCATATAGGACCTACAATAATGTACAGTATTTGAAAAATAATGTGTTTTTTGAACATTAAAGCATGTCAACATATTCTGTTACACCAAATACACAAATAATGATCTTTAAAAAAGCATCATATGACCCCATTAAAACTGAGCTCTTTTAAAGGGATAGTCCACCCAAAAATGTTGTTCTTTCTTCTGTTGAACACAAAAGAAGATATTTTGAAGAATCAAACCAAACAGTTTCTGGTCCCTATTGATTTCCACTGTATGGACATAAAAATACAGAGGAAATCAATAGAAACCGAAGTTGTTTGGTTGCCAACATTCTTCAAAATATCTTCAATTGAGTTCCTCAGAAGAAAGTAAGTCGTACAGATTTGGAACATCATGAGGGAGGGTAAATGACATTTACATTTTTGGGTGAGCTATAACTTTAGTATCTGCATTTAAGATAAAGCGGCAAACTTCCTTTCTTCCTCATTTAGGCAGTTCGTTCAGATGCCTTGCGCTCCTCTGTGGACCTGGAGCAGTTCGGCGCATGTGAGGGTCAGTTTGAAGAAGACTACTGTCCACTGCGCTCCATTGGAAAGGGAGCCTTCGGCTTTGTCTGGCTCGCTGCAAGACGGATAGATGGACAGGAGGTCAGTGACACTCTCTGCATTCACTGGTGTTCATACACTCATATTCATCCGTTGCGAGATAATAACTTGATAATGACGTCAGTTGTTTGTCAAGAGATGATGTTTACACACTGAGTCAGTGTCATTGCTGGAGGGTGTATCCAGTCTTTTATGGACTTTTATATGAGCTGGTGAAGAGATGTTGAATTTATTATCACTTCAATTTCAGGTGATTGTGAAGTTCATTAGGAAAAGTGCAGTGGTGAGTGAATGCTGGGTGGATGATCCTGATCTGGGTCGGGTCAGTCAAGAAGTGGCCATACTGGCTCGCCTGCAACATCCCAATATTGTGAAGGTACACTGAGAGAACTGTTTGAGTTCATATTAAATACTTAGAATGTTTTGTTGCCAAAATTAAATGATGCAACATAGCTTCCTAAAAAAAAAAAATGTTTGCCCATTAGGTTCCTTATATGCAAGTGTTGTTGTTGAATGTCCATTTCAATCTGTGCACATGCTTTAAAACCTTGCCGCAAACAACTTGACCCACTCTCAAACACTGTAGCTTGTTCATGTCGTGAAGATGCTTTATCATACGCTGGAAAAGTAAATTCGATTTATTTTCACTTCCGAAAGTTTAGGCTGCAAAGAATCAGTGGTTAAAATGAGTGGTCGACCGATGTTGTTTTTTTGTACATCTGATGCCGATATCTTGGAAAGCAGGGTGGCCGATATAAAGCTGATATAATTGTATTTTATTTTAATTAATATTTAAGAAATTTAAAATAATTTGAAAATGTGTTAATTTAATTTGTAAAATAAATATACTTCTACTTTAGATGACAAAGTATTTTTCACAAATAAATAAATATTTAATAAAAATATAATTAAAAAGGAAGTACACTGTAACCAACAGAGCACTCAGTATTCTGGGAAGTTTGTGTGCATTGGGAATAATTTTTTTTTCAAATAAAGCCAAAGTAACACTCATTTTACATACAGCACAGAGTGAAAATGACATGAGTATGACAGTGAACAAATGCATAAAGCGCAGCATAATTTGAAATCACGAATTTAATGTTTAAAGCGTTCAATTCGTACGGACCGAAAGTCACGTAGAGAACACGCGATCATGCAGGTCACATGCACACTTCACAAGATCTCACAACTGGATTCGACTAAGTTTGCAAGGTTTGTGAAATTAAATTTTCATTAGTCATTCAAAGATTTGTTTAAATGATGTAAATATGTATTCGCTGAATGCTGACGGCAAATGAGAAGGTGTTATAATGTTTGCCTTTCTATTACTAATAATATAAAAGCAATCGTTATATTACTTTTTGTATACATTTTAATTCCTTTGTTTAACAGTTCTATCGGATTATTAGACCGACTTCTATCCGTATTAGACAGAACTGTTAATCATATGCTAAAAAATAACATTATTTGGTATAATGAAATGTTTATGCGGTTTAAGGTTCAAAAAACTAATTTTCCACATACTGTACATTATTGTTTCTCCTCTATGCCCTGCCTTTCTGAAATGCATTGATTTTTACAAAGCTCATCGGTCTGAAAAGCGAGGTGTGCTCTGATTGGCCAGCTATCCAGTGCGTTGTGATTGGCCGAATACCTCAAGCGTGTGACCGAAATGTTACGCCCCTTACCATATTGTGATGCCCTGCCAGGCCGGAGCGATGAGACAAAAACATTAAAACCCATTATAAACTAGGCATTTGTTGCATCCAGTGGGGATATAATTACGGATTATAATGACTTATGACTTCTACTGTCTTTTTACGCGTTGCATCGAGCCGCGTAAACATAAAACCATGTCTGCATTTGTGATCGGAGAAATTACAAACAACAAGTGCTACTCTACACTGCTCAAAACTCACGTTTGAATCATCAGTGGCAAATTCTTTAAATATAAAAGAGTGCTTACAGTCTGTGAGTCAGAACAGCCGGCATTGTAGTCTACTCTTCCAGGATCAGGAAACAGTCCTCCATAAAATGTGCTGCACACATGAGCGGAGGCCGGCGGGCTTGAGAACGGCGCGGCCGGCGGATTCGACAAAGGAGTGGCCGGTGGGCTTGCGGCAACCACATGTGACGACCCCGGGCTGGACTCCACTTCATCCACTGTGAAAGCCAATCCAGCGATCCACAGCGCGAAGTTGATGTATTTCCTCAGCGATCAGCACGGATCAGCTCCAGGCATGACGAAGCCGATATCGTCCTCTTTTGGAAGGCCAAACAAAGTAGTTTCGCTTTCACAACGAAACACACAGCGCCTTCACATCATGGTGGCAGCGGCAACAACAATACTACAGTGAGAATAAAAGTTACGCCTTCTTTCTTTGAACATTTGGGCGGCGCTATGCAAATCTTCCCACATCGTGACGTAGACGTGGGGGCGTGTTAGAATGAGCCGTTTTAGGTAGACTCTAAACTTTTATAAAGAATAATATCTCTTTGGATTTGAGACTTTACAGATCTTCTTTATGCACCAAGAGCTTGTAACACCCCAAAGAGAAAGGAAAAATTTTAATCGCCAAACAGAAAAACTTATCTGCCGATATTTGAAAAATGCCAAATATCGGCCGATATATCGGCCTTGGCGATATATCGGTCGACCACTAGTTAAAATTAGATTTCTTTCACTGTACAACCTCAATCTTTTTTTGTGTTCCTGTCATTTTCTGACGACTGCTTCTTTAATCTTGTGGAGTTTGATGCAGGATGCACAAAACGTGCACAGAAAGATTGCTCAGTACCCAGTTTATTTGGACCAGCTGGCTCCACTCAATCACAACCTGTAAGTATGATAAATAATAGATGTTTATATTTTCTATCGAGCGTTCAAAATACAGAACTAAGGCAATGGACGTATCGTTTCCGTTACGCGCTGTACGCGTTAGATCAGTCACAACAGTCTGGGCCATCTGACCAATCAGAGCAGAGTAGCCTCACGGAAAGGTAGGGTTTAGAGAGACTGAATCTTAGAACTGCTTTGAACGAATCGTTTGAGAATTTTTGGAAAGTGAGGTGATATTAAATGCATATTTTGAGAAAACTAAAGCGTTTTTTTGGGGGGACCTTGTGTGCGTGTAAACTTATTGTAGGAGACTCCCAGAACAATATTAGGAACCTTAAAAATGATTATTCACTTAAAAATATTAAAACACAAAATTGTCATTTTTAAATTGTAATGTTTCACAGTATTACTGTTTTTACTATATTTTTGACCAAGTAGCTTAATCGAGCAGACTTGGTAAGCATAAGAGCATTTTCAAAAACTTAAAGGAAAAAAAAAAAATGACCCCAAATATTTGAACAATACATTTATAGATATAATATTCATATTATAAATTTTCTGGATTAATGTCAAGTTTTATATTGAACATTGCCAAAATGCTAGTTATAGTATGCTCACTATTTGTGTTTATGAGTGTATTACTTTTTTGCTGCAGGTGCTGGAGGTGTTTGAGAATGAGGGATTCTTCCAAATGGTCATGGAGAAGCATGGGGATGGGCTAGACCTGTTTGAGTTTATCGACATGCAGCCAAGACTGGATGAGCCTCTAGCGAGCTACATCTTCAGACAGGTGAGAAACGGGTTGTGAGAACTGTTGCACAGAGAAGTTGTAATTGGATCACTTTTTCCTGATGTGTATCTGAATGTGTCTGTACCTAGTTGGTAGCCGCAGTGAGTTACCTGTGTGGCAAAAGAGTGCTCCACAGGGACATAAAGGATGAAAATATCATCATAAACTGTAAATTCCACATCCGGCTGATCGACTTTGGCTCTGCTGCCCTGCCAGAACCCGGAAAGCTCTTCTATACCTTCTGTGGCACTCTGGAATACTGCTCACCAGAGGTGCTTCAGGGAAACCCGTATGTACTGAAACATCACACCGACATCTCAGTTCCATCTGTGTGTCTAAGCTTGATGAGGACAGAGTACAGGATAAGATCAGGCGGTTAAAGGGATAGTTCACCTTCAGTTGCTGGTCCCCATTGACTTCCATAGTCAATGGGGACCAGCAACTGATGGTGAACTATCCCTTTAAGGATCTGAGAAGGGTAACATAAAGGTATGTATGTATGTATGTAATTTCATATTCATGTCTATAAAATAAGCAACACATTAATAACTGTATGACTGAGATCACCACAAAGCCCTTGAACATTCATGTGCACGATTCATCAGATCAGGTCTTTCTTTATTTTCCCTCAATAAAAATGTAGTGACAAGTTAACATTTATTGTTCACTCAGGTTTCATTAATTATGTTTGGATATTGAAATAGGTTTAAATACCCTTTTTAACTTGGAAACATGCAACATCACAAGTAAAAAAAAAAGTTTGTGAAATGCAATTTTTATGTTCACTTTAAGCCTGTGGAGGTGAATGTCCGAATGCTGAATAATGAATGCAAGAATAATGTTGAAACCATTATGCTTGCATATACAGGTAAAATATGAGATTTTTTTAATGTATTTGCTTTTTTTGTATTTTATATTTCGATGTATGTAGATACGAGGGTCCAGAGCTGGAGATGTGGTCTCTAGGAGTGCTCTTATACACCTTACTCTTCAGTGAAAACCCGTTTTGCAGTGTGGAGGAAACCCTGCAGGCCCGACTCAACCCTCCATGCCAGATATCTACAGGTTTGCAGCTCTGCTTCATCACAGCTATGAAGACTGACTGGAGACACATGACTGATTTGACTAATTTGACTTTATTCCACAAATGAAGGCATTAAAAAGATCTTAAATTGGAGCAGAAAGTATTCAATTCACGGACATGCCATGAAATGTTGTTTGCACTGCAAAACTGTAACATTTTCCTCAGTGTTTTTGGCTTATTTACCAGTACAAATATCTACACATCCTTAAAGGGAAAGTTCACCCAAAAATGAAAATTCTGTCATTAATTACTCGCCCTCATGTCTCTTAGAATTAATCAAAAATATCTTTAACCCTTTCGCACGTGAGTTTAAAATATTCTAGCTGAGCCCCCAGCGTGAGTTTTTTTTAGGCGACCGTTATTTTAAAATGTATCGCCTTATTGTTTCCATGGCGACGCGTCATGCTTGTCATGTGACACAACGCAGCCACAATAGATCTGTGTAACACATGGATCGCTTTTATTTCGTTTTTCCTGTTTTATTCAAAATATTCACAAACATGCTCACTATATTATGAAATATCTGATATTCCGATTCTGAAATATGTGCAATTAAATCTGTTTGAATGTTCACTCAAAGAAAAAAGGCATAACATTTATTCTCTCTGTAGTATTATTGTCATGCCGTGGAGATGCTGTGTTTCGTTGTGAAAGCGAAACTACTTTGTTTGGTCTTCCAAAAGAGGACACAACTAGAAATCAGTGGTTAAGTTGTATTTACAACACTGTTCCAGAACAGTTCAACCCAAATATTCAGATGTGTGCAGCACATTTTATGGAGGACTGATCCTGGTAGAGTAGACTACAATGTCAGCTGTTCTGACTCACTGACTGTAAGTACGTTTTTTATATTTAAAGAATTTGCCATTGATGATTCAAACGCGAGTTTTGGGCAGTGTAGAGTAGAGCTGCTTGTTTGTCATTTCTCCGATCACAAATGCAGACATGGTTTTATGTTTACGCGGCACGATGCAACGTGTAAAAAGACAGTATAAGTCATTATAATCCGTAATTATGTCCCCACTAGATGCAGCAAATGCCTCGTTTATAATGGGTTTTAATATTTTTCTCATCGCTCCGGCCGGGACAGGGCATCAAAGTATGGTAGGGGCGTAACATTTCCGTCACACGCTTGAGGTATTCGGCCAATCACAACGCACTGGACAGCTGGCCAATCAGAGCACACCTCGCTTTTCAGACCGATGAGCTTTGTAAAAATCAACGTGTTTCAGAAAGGCAGGGCATAGAGGAGAAACCATAATGTACAGTATGTGGAAAATAATGTGGGTTTTTTTAACGTTATACCGCATAAACACATTACACCAAATACACAAAATGTTATTTTTAGCAGCATCATATGACCCCTTTAATTTGTGTTCCGAAGATGAACGGAGGTCTTACAGGTTTAGAACAACATGAGGGTGAGTAATTAATGACAATTTATTTTTTGGTGAACTACCCCTTTAAATCAAGATGCATTTACTTGAGATGCAAAATGAAGATATGAAGTCTTGTTTTCTGAGAAATCGAGCAAAATTTAGTTTATGCTTAAAATAAGAAGAAATATCTGTCAATGAGGCTTGAAGACTTGTTTCACTTTACATTAAGTTGATTTTTCTGAGCCCATTGGCAGAAATTTGTTCTCATTTTAATCCTAACAGTTATTTTTGAATAATTTCTCAAAAAATAAGACGTGTCTTTTTGGACATTACTTTTAAAAAGAAAACCTGCAAAAACACCATTTATTACTGTTCAACCTGTTGCTGTGTTCTTGTTTTAGAGTTGTATGCACTGTTGGCTGGTCTTTTGCACTTGATCAAAGAATGACTCTAGAGGAGCTCTTGGAGTCGCAGTGGATTCAGCAACCCATAAATCTAGCAGAGTACTCGTGGGCAGAGGTCTTTCCCTCTAGCAATGGTAAGACTATTGGTTTTAGGTTATTTCATATTGTGACCATTTATTCTTTCATCCTCCAAAAAGATTATAATATTTAGCTTTGCACCGGGCAGATATCCTCTACCTGGACCCCGAAAACAATCGGAGCACTTCAGAGGACACCCCTTTAGAAGATGAAGATGATGAGGAGGATGAGAAACCGAGGAGAACAATGGTGGCGCTGCAGTCCGAGCTGCTGAAATATCTTACCGATGAGTGAGGAGCTGTTGTGAAAGAAACACTAATGCGTTCTGCTCAACCAATTATGACATTACATCTAATGTCACCATGAACACTAATGCACAATCTCTGCAGAACTCTCCGTCCAGCTGCCGCTGTCCTCCTTGATGATACCAGTCCGTCCAAAGAGCAAAAGAAAAGTGTGACTGGGAATGGAAGCCGCCTGTGTTGCTAAGGAACAGCTTTATCTCTGTGTTTGGTGAAGGACTAGGAGTGTATTTATGAACATGTTGTTTTCATGGCGTTTTTAAAACATTGTATTCTGAGATGTTGAAAGTTCTTGCTGTTTGTTGTAATACTATGATGTGCACAATAATTGTCCTGTTAAAACATATGCATAACACACGCACTAGACCTTGATGAGGGTCACCTGAGCTTTACCATATTTGTTATTAGGCCTTCAGAACTTTACAAGAATTTTAGATTGATTTTTATCATTTTAAATTATGAGTATTTTAATAATTTTTTTATCCTATGAATAAATTGTTATTGGCATAATTTCAGTTTGCTTTGGCTGTTGGTTACTCTGATATTATTTCAAATTGTACACAGGCTTTGTAAAGCCTCTTATCAAACGTTAATGTCAATAGAATTCTTCAATAAAATATTTGCAGTTTATAATCACTTTTGTTTCGTCTTCTCTTCAAACACCCGGAACATTTGAGGTCTGAATGTTGTTTCAGTGACACAGATATGGGTTCACATGCATGCAGAAAACAGATGAGGACGAAACTATAAAATACATATTTCATACATTATAGAATTAGACACTAGACTGAATGTCCAACAACTGCTATATAGCTACCGTTAAACATATCGCGATAGGTTACTTTGTAGGAAGCGGTCTCTGATTTGCTGGTGTGAGCCAGAGTAGCCTAACATTCAATTGTGATTAATCGCGTAATAAAAACAAATGAATAAATGCTAGCTTACTTGATATTATAATAGGTTATGTGACTGCTAGAAAATCTGAATCTCCTAAAACAACGTTTGTTAAAACTAAGGATAATTTTGCAAGAAACATTTGCCTCGATGCATGGAAGTGCAAACTCTTCATACTGAATGTAAAATAGTGTATAGCCCCTCAGCAAATAGTTACAGCATCATACAATATCAGTTCAACATACACGCGTAGTGGAGCCTGGGGCTTGTCACGATTAGAAGTCTCAATAAATATATGGTTTAAAAGTCAAATTACACAAATGCTGTTTTTTTTGTAGCAATGTTTCTGTAAGTTGGTTTCAACTACCGAGTTCAAAAACTACTTCTATCTTCCGAATTTACTAGCTACTGGGTGAACACTTTTAGCATTTTATTACATTCATGTAATCATTTAGCAGCCGCTTTTATCCAAAGCGAGGAAAATAGAAGCAACCAACAAAAACTTCCAGGTAGGTGTGCTGAGGCAAGTTGGAGCTAAACTCTGCAGGACAGTGGCCCTCCAGGACCTAGTTTGTCAATAGAAGCAGCGCATTTATATAGAACTGTGATTAAACTGACTCAGACCTGTGCATTAAATGGTTTTAATGTACACATGCCAGCCAATCAGAATAGAGTATTCAGACAAACCATAGTATAATATTATATGATTCTTTAGAGAGAGAAAAAACAATAATTATAATATAAAACTGAACAATGAAATACAGCTTATTGGGAATTTAAATTTTTTTAAAAAGTCAGGAACACAGAAACATTCTACAACTGTAACTTAACTTGTCGTAGAAAAAAAGAAAGTTGAAATAACTTTATACATAATGTTGTCTTTTAATTCTGAAATGGGTTGTTAAAGCTCTGCAAAGGTCATGATCAGGGATTGCCAGCTCTTCATAACCCCCTTCCTGTCCACTTCATCTTCCATGTTTTCCATCAGACTCCAGCATTTCACTGCTGCACAGAAAGCTGGGGCCTGAGTTCTTATGAAGTTGTGGTGTGAACAAGAAAGGATCTGAGATAACTGAGAACTGGGTTCTCTTTTGAGTCCACTATATATTGTGAATACCAAAAGGATTCTTAGGTCACTTTCAGCTGGTTCACTTTAAGTGAACTGGGTTTGGTGCTTTTAAAACGAACTATATGTGAAAGCACCCTAAGAATAGAGAGCGCTAGTGTTAGAGAGTCAAGTTTTTTTTTTCCCCCAAAGAAAACAATTAGATAGAATAGCAATATTCTGGATGGTACTACAAAGTGCCGTTCACTTGCAGAACTCAAGCTTCTGGAGGGCAGTCTGAAGTAGTGAGTTTAGGTAAAGGGGTGCAGAGCCAGTGGCAAGTGGCTATTATAAGCCAGTTATTAATTACTAATTACAATATATACATTTTACTTGAGGAAAAATGACTTGATACATCTACTAAATACTAAAAATCCCCATCAGGTGCTTAAAAGAAAAAATGCTCAGAAAAAGTTAGTCCTCAGAAAAGCTGTTGCGTGGTTTTATATATTCTTCCAAATAAATGTAGTGTCCAGACATTTTGGGGCCATTATGTATTGAACTGAACAGCATTTGCTTCCTCCCTCTATATCTAGTGCGATGGATGTGGAGATGGAGTGTTTGTCCTGTGGCGGTGAGCAGAGGTCATATGCCGTTCTGCTCCACACAACAAGAGCCCCATCAAGCAAATCCATCTCACACCAGTCAGGTCACCCACAGCCCTGGGAATCAGCTCACCCTGTGCTCTTTGCTCGAGATGGGCTTCTCAGAAACTCAAGCCAAGGAGATGCATGAAGGTGCTATGAAGAGCCGTGGGAAACATGTTCCATCTGTTCTGACAGCGCTGTTGCTCCTGGGCTTAAATCCCTCCAGTATCCTGAAAATAATGCAGAAGTGTCCAGAAGTATATTCACTTAAAGGTGCAGCAGCGCATCGACCATCTGAGGAAGATGGGACTGGTAGAAGGTGATGCATCTTGTCTTTTAGTAAACTACACTGCTGTTCCAAAGTTTGAGGTCAGTAAGATTTATTAAATTTTTTTAGCGACATTAATACTTATATTCAGCTAAACTGTTACAAAAGTTTATTTCAAATAAATACTATTCTTTTGAATTTTCTATTCATCAAGCAATCCTGAAAAAAAGAAGTGCATCATTCATGGTTTCCACAACAATATTAACCAGCACAACCAAGGAATGTTTCTTGAGCAGCAAATCTGCGTATTAGAATGATTTCTGAAGGATCATGTGACTCTGAAGACTGGAGTAATGATGCTGGAAATTCAGCTTTGCCATCACAGGAATAAATTACATTTTAAACATATTAAAATAGAAAACCGTTATTTTAAATTGTAATGCTATATCACAATATGACTATTTTTACTGTATTTTTAATCAATCAAATGCAGCCTTGGTGAACATAAGAGACTTCTTTCAAATACAACGAAACTGGGCTGACACTAACAGAAGAGTTTTGTGGACCAGAAATAGCATTAGGAACTATGTATCATGTTATAATGATTTGTTTATTTATTAAAGACGGGTTTCTGCCACAGTACAGCAAACAAATTATTTGCATGAATTTGTCTTGCTTAAAAACTACTAGCCTTTGAAATTGATGTTTGATGGTTTTAATTTGAAAACAAATCAGGAATGTTGTCAAATTTATCCGTCATTATTTTTTGAGAATGTGTAAACTGCAAAGATTCATTCAGGCCATTATAACCATTTAAAGGGATAGTTCAGAAATGTTTTCTTTCTGTGTTGACTTATTTCCTTTTGAAACAGGAAGTTCAATACTTTTATTCAACAAGGATGCTTTAATCTTTAATCTTTAAAAGACAGTGAAGAAATGTATAATGTTACAAAAGTTTATTTTAGATTAATTGCTGTTCTTTTGAACTTTCTCTTCATCAAAGAATCCTGAAAAAAAAAATACTAAGCAGCACATTTGTTTGATTGATAATAAGAAAATGTGTTTTTGAGCAGCAAATCTGCATATTAGAATGATTTCTGAAGAATCATGTGGCACTGAAGACTGAAGTAATGATGCTGGAAATTCAGCTTTGCCATCACGGGAATAAATGTGATTTTAAAATATATATAAATAGCAAACAGTTATTTTAAATGGTAATAATATTTCACAATATTACTGTTTTAATGAATTGTTGATCAAATAAATGCAGCCTTGGTGAATATGAGAGGCTTTTTTCAAAAGATTATTAAAATATCTTGCCAACCCCGAATTTTTGAACAGTGGTGGAAATGTATATAACATTTTTGAATTATTTGGAAAATATTAACTTTGTATTAAGTAATATTTTTCTACCCAATTATTAAATATAAGATAAACAAATTTTAATTAAACTGAAATGTATTTGTGTAGCACATTTTACAATAAATATTGTTACAAAGCAGCTTTACAGAAAATAATGCAACAAGCTATAGGCAAAGGAAAACCTAATTTTTGAAAATATGTACATTGCAAGAAAGGGGAGAAGATAATATATAGAAGATATATACAGGTGCATCTAAATAAATTAGAATGTCGTGGAAAAGTTCATTTATTTTTAAATGTGAGCCAAAATCATCACAATTTAAAAGAACCAAAGACTTAAACTACTTCAGTCTGTGTGCACTGAATTTATTTAATACTCGAGTTTCACAATTTGAGCTGAATAACTGAAAAACAACATTCCACGACATTCTAATTTATTGAGATGCACCTGTATATGTATATATATATATATATATATATATATATATATATATATATAAATACACACACAAACATGTATATATTTATGTACAATATGTAACAGTTTGCATATTCTGCAAGGGGTATGTAAACTATTGTGCACAACTGTATATTTGTATATATACATGTAAATATTTCTTAAAACACGGACATGCGTCAGCACGCGTTGTTTACACGGAAAATAAACCAAAAATATCTTAATTTGTGTTCCGAAGAAACATTTTTTATTTTTGGGTGAATTATCCCTTTAAATCTTAATACTGTGTGTCATTTCCTGGATGATCCATGACTGTTTTTGTGTTTTGAGATAGTTGTTCATGAGTCCCTTGTTTGTCCTGAACAGTTAAACTGCCTGCTGTTCTTCTGAAAAATCCTTCAGCTCCTGCACATTCTTTGGTTTTCCAGCATCTTCTGCATATCTGAACCCTTTCCAACAGTGACTGTATGATTTTGAAATCCATCTTGGTTTAGGCA